GTTTGCAGACGAAAGGAGCAGCGACGCGGGACATGCAGGCGAGTTCCGTGGACTTTCTCAGGAATGTAATCACTGAATTCAATTGTAACGCGGATTCTGGATGCACATTCGAAGCGTGGTTCAAGCGCTGGGAAGACATGTTCCGGAAGGGGCTTCATTCATCAGGACGACTCCTGGAAGGTGCGACTGCTACTTCGCAAGCTTGGAATAAGTGAACATTCAAGGCTCATAGACTACATTCTGTCCAAACAGCCGAAGGATATGACGTTTGACGAAGTGGTGTCGCAGCTGATGAAAATTTTTGGTGAGTCGGTATCCTTGTTTAGTATTCGCTATCAATGCCTGAAAATTGTCAAACACGAATCGGACGACTTTGGGGCCCTAGCAAACATGACTAACCGTGAGTGTGAGCGTTTCAAACTACGCTCTTTAACGGACGATCAGTTTAAATGTCTCATTTTCGGCAGTGTTCTACAATCCTTCAGTGATGCTAAGATCGACACGCGGCTTTTGGCTAAGCTGGATCAGGATCCTGATTTGACACTGAAAGCCCTCGTAAACGAATGCGAACGGATGGCCACTGTAAAACACGACACTGCTACAGTCAAACGGAATGGTTGCGCACCACCAGTTACCGTGCACTTCGTGAAAAAGGCCAGGATGGTCAACCAAAGCAAACCCTTCAAGAGGTTTACGAACAAACCCCTCACACCATGCTGGTCATGCGGCGAATGGCATTTCGCGCGCTTTGTCCGTTCAAACGTCATATTTGTCAAACGTGCCATAAGCGTGGGCATAAGGAGGAATTCTGCAGTCAGGTCCGGTCGAAGAAAGTGAAGCCTTATTGAAAGGGAAATTCTAGGATGGCGCAGAGTCTCTGTCCATAGTTGCCGCATTCCAAAGTGAGTGTAAACCGAGACGAGGATTTATCACGGTGTTGATCAATAGGATCCCAACGAAACTGCAATTTGACACGGCCTCGGACATTACGATTATTTCCACGAGCACATGGAATCGCATAAAGAGGCCGAAGATGGTCGAGTCTAAGAAAGTTGCACATCCAGCGGTGTGTTAAACTTAGTGGGCGAACTCCATTACAAGATTGCTTTCAAAGGTGTGGAAAAGTCGGTAACGTGCTACATTTTACACCGGCCGAATTTGAATCTTCTTGGTCTTGACTGGATTGAAAAGTTGCAACTCCTCGATGTCCCCTTGAACCGAGTTCCCTGCAACCGAATTCGAGCAAGTCCAGATCCATCGTCAAAGTCCGTCGAAGACATGACAGGTACCCTGAAACGAAAATTTGCCTCTGTCTTTCGGGATGGCTTGGGCCATTGTACGAAATGCAAGGCAACGCTGAGCTTGCAACAAGCTGATAAACCAGTGTCCAAAGCCAAAAGACCGGTACCATATGAAGCCATGTCAACCGTTGAGCAAGAGCTCGATCGACTGGAACGTGCCGGAGTCATCACAACCGTCAAGTACTCATCACGGGCCGCACCTACTGTCGCAGTGAAGAAGGCAAATCGCAAGGTACGCGTTTGTACTGACTTCTCAACTGGCCTCAACGCCGCATTGGACGACCACCAGTACCCATTACCTGTACCGGAAGATACCTTTACAAAACTGAATGGTGAGAAGTACTTTGCTAAGCTTGATCTATCCGATGCCTACCTTCAAGTGGATGTTGAAGAAATCTCGAGGGAGTTGTTGACGATCAACCCGCATCCTGGGCTATTTCAATACAACCGCTTGCCATTTGGTGTAAAAACAGCGCCAGCCATTTTCCAACAGTTAATGGATACCATGCTAGCGGGCGTTTCTGGTACCCCTGCATATCTAAATGATATCATAGTGATGGGTCGAACACCGGAAGAACTAATTAACCGCCTGGATGAAGTGCTTGGTTGTATACCGTCGTACTGTTTCCGGATCCGTGAGGATAAATGCACATTTTTCACGCCGATCATCAAATCCCTCGGTTTTAACCTCGAAAAAATGGACGTCGACCAGATCCGGAGAACGTAGAAACCAATAGAAAAATGCGTCCATCAACAGATCTACAGTCCTTGCGTTCCTTTTGTAGGCTCATCAGCCACTACAGCGCATTCTTGACCGAGATGCACCGCCTGCGTGCCCCGTTAAACAAGCTACCAGTCAAAGGCCAAACTTGGAACTGGACATCAGAATGCCAGAATGCTTTCGAAGGGGTCAAAACATTGCTGTCCTCAAACTTGCTTTTGACTCATTTTGATCCCACTAAAGAGATTGTCCTACCCACAGATACATCAAGCCATGGGATTGGCGCCGTAATTTCGCACACGTAACCGATGGATCTCAGAAAGCAATCGCCCATGCCGCCAGAACACTTACGAAGGCCGAGAGGAATTACAGCCAGATTGAGAAAGAAGCATTGGCCATAGTGTACGCGGTCAAGAAACTCCACAAAATGCTATACGGCCGTCGCTTCAAGCTTCTGACAGATCACAAACCCTTACTGGCTATCTTTGGTTCGAGAAAGGGCATTCCGGCCTACACAGCCAACCGGCTACAAGGTCTGGCTCTTACCTTAATGGGGTATGATTTCGAGATCCACTACCAGTCGACAATTTCCATTGGCGGATGAACTGTCACGCTTAATTGATGCCCATCAGCAAGAACATGAGAACACAATCATTGCCTCAGTCGAGATCGAACCTGATGTCAACCAGCTGGTAACTGATGCATTGCATGGTCTACCAGTTACCGCAGAAGCTGTACGAACCGGTACGCTTCGGGACCCAATACACAAGGTTACACAGTCCCACAAAACAAGTTGGCCACGTTCATGTCCATCTGCCGAGTTGCAACAGTACTACCAGAGGAGACACACGCTCTCTATTGTGAATGATTGTATACTATTCTCGGAAAGAGTGGTCTTCCTAAAGGCACATCAGGAGCGCCTTATTCGGTAGTTCTACGCCGGGCATCCTGGGATCAACCGGATGACGGCGCTTACCTGCAGTTATGTATACTGGCCCTTCATGGACAAACAACTAGAAGAAACAGCTAAACGCTGTCAAAAGGTGCGCCAATGTGTTGAAAGCGCCACAAAAATCATAACTCTATTCATGGCCAAAAGCTACTAAGCCATGGTGCCGCATCCATGTCGAGTTTGCAGGACCGATCAACGGCAGAAGTTTCCTCATTATAGTCGACTCATACAGCAAGTGGCCTGAAGTATTTCTTAAGGATAGCACAACCACCAATGCCACTGTATCAAAACTGCGCCAAACCTTTAGCAGATTCGGCTGTCCTGTGACAATTGTAACAGACAATGGCACACAATTCATTTCGGCAACGTTTACGGAGTTCTGCAAGGAATGTGCTGTCCAGCACATTCGCTCGCCACCGTTTCACCCACAGTCGAATGGCCAGGCAGAAAGGTTTGTCGATACGTTCAAGCGAGCTGTCCACAAATCAAAAGGGTAGGGACGTATAGAGTAGGTGGTTGACCGGTTCCTTTTTTTCTACCGATCAACACCAAATCCACAAGCACCAGACGAAGTTTCTTCAACACAGGCTATGATGAACCGAAAGCTGCGCATGCCTTTCGACACCATTAGACAGCGCTCGGAATCCTCTGTTGGTGAAAAAACCGCAGAATGGAACAAGATTTTAACCGGCGGCATGGAGCAAAGAAGCGATCATTTATGCTTGGACAGAAAGTGCTAATACGTGACTATGGGGAAGGCCACACAAAATGGACGCCAGGGACGGTCAAAAGCAAGCGCGGAAACATCATGTATGACGGGATGGTGAGCGCACAGATCTGGGCACGACCTGCAAACCAGTTACGGCCAACATTGTGTCACCCAAAACAAACGAGGCCTACCGACCTCCCGTTCGATTTATTGGTGGAAAACTTCAACTTGCCGAAGGTAGCAGTGGACGACTGCACATAGTCGAGCAAAGAATCCAGAACACGGACATCGGAACACAGTTCTCGGGCACTACTGCCAAGGAGATGGACTGACAGCCAGAGAACACCGTCCCGAAGACTGCAAGTTAATCCTAGGCTTTCAACGCATACCTCGGACGATATCTCAGGGGGGAAGGTGTCCGGGAGAAAGTAAGAATTGCCTAGAAAATCCACTATTTTAGCGATTAATCGATTATTAACAATTAGCGCATCGATTTTAAACGTTCTAGAATGTTCTAGTTGCCGCACGTGACCAAAAACCACCTGACACCTCGGCAAAAGTTATGGGGAAGCACTAAGCTTGGTAGCTGACCCACCAAATCTAGAAGTCGAAAGTCAGTAAAAGACCCATAAATACAACCAAGGTCCGCGGTAGTTGTAGTGTTTGTTCACGGCGAGTAATACGTTATTTGGTCAAGGTTATTGGCGTTCTGCTTTTGCCCTCGGTTGGGCTAGAAGTTTCGTGGAGCAGTAAAGTGTCAATTTCGGAATCGCATCTAGTGAGAAGATTATAACACTCCTAAACGAGGGGAGCAACCGAAAGATTAAGTCGAGTTGTGGAGTAGTTGGATATCATGACAGTGTGGTGCGATCGAGAATACAGGTGTTTTTTATTTGATGAAAATAATGTTTCGTTTAATCCTCCCCGACTAAAAGATTGGTCGTTTATTCCTAATTTTTATCGTTGTAGAGAAGCGAATAGAAGTAATTCGATCCGCCATACTTGGGTGCCTGAGTAGCAACTGAATGACTGAAATCGGCCCAGTAGAGTTAATATAAAAGGAAGAGGAAATAGTTGGTCTAGTCATGGCAGTTTCTGATAGCCATTACAGATACTGTCAAGCTAAACTATCCGCTGACTAAGAGGGTTGTGTTTGCATTCGGTCTCGGATCGAAACGGTAAACTATTTGAAGCGGCATGCTGCTGCGCAATTCCAGCTCAACTACGAGAAAGCGCAGCTGAACCTTTTACATTAAAGCAAAGTACGGAGTAAGACAGTGAAGTAAAATGTAAAGGTCTAGAAGACAGTAAGCTCACTTTCCAATCTCAAAGCTTTTAGACTTAGAGGAGTGACCAAACCTCTGTAGTCCATAGTAATTTATAAAGCCATTTGCTGTCCATGAGTGAATCGCTTCTTCAATTATACCAACACTGTTTGTAATGGATCTTGAGGGAACGCAATATTTCGGAAGTACAAAACCTACCTCAAGACAATAGTGAACTCGTTGCCTACAAGGTCGCCTAAAAACAAAGGGCTGGAGGAATAGCAGAAATTCCCCATGCATATGCTAGGGAGACGGTGATTGAGGGATGCTAGACGCTCGGAATCAATACTAGAAATATAAAAAGATGGTTAATGACAAACCCTTTGACAGCAACAAACTGTGTTGTGATCGCGCGTTTGTCTTTTGTGCCAGCATAACTGAAACAACCAGGATTGACGCTAAATAAACCTAAGTTATGAAAAGTAAGATGAAGCATACCGGAGATGGGAACTCAGGAGCTGGATAGCACTAATAGTGTCTCTTCCTTCCTTATACAGAACAAATCTACAATAAGGTAGACCTTTCGGTAGTTTTGTAGTCTTTCTTTTTGGCACACTTAAATCTGTCTGACAAAAGGTGGCCTAGAACAAAGTGAACTTATACCTTCCCTCTGGTATGGTAAACAACAATAACAGTGTGATCACCATCGCGAATCGTGGAAGTTGACAGCTGCGGATAAGCGGCACTAATCGCTTGGTGGATAGAAGTTCTTTCGGACTTCGAGTCTGGAGCCTGCAATAAAAAGTGATAAGAGAAGCACCAGATACCTCTATTTTTATGGAATTCAATTTTCCTCCAATAAGACTGTGCAAATCATCTTGAAAAGGCTCGAGCAGGGTATTAACATCCTCCGTGTTCACCTGTCAACTTAGGAAGAAAAGGTGGAAAACCTGTGCATCGTTAGGAACAGCTGTAACGGGATTTGTGGATGTGAGATACGCACCGCCGTTTTCCCCTATTTCACGAACAAGAAAATCTTCCCAGCTACAATCAGGTTCTAAAACACAGAGTAAATTACCGGTTCTTGAGGACACAATCAAATCCTTGGACTTGCTCGCTCACGTAAGCAACAATTCCTACGTCTGCCTCACGCAGTGCTTCATGTCCTTCTTTATCAAAACACATAACAGAACAATCCTGGGCGTTTGCATCGAGCAGACGAGATTGTTTGGTAACCGGCTCAGACATTGTGAACCAGTTGCTAAAATGCGCAGAACAGAAGCTCCGAAGATAACCAATTGGCGCGCAATAATAATTGTGTTAGTCTACATATGCATAAGGCGAGTTTATTAAAAGAAAAATTCAGGTGTCTGTTTAACACAAATGGGTTGGGATTGTGTTGGCTATTTCAACCGAAACCGTGTAAACCGGAAGAATAATACAAATAGGATAAAAGTGTGCTACCGAGCCAAAGGAAGAGAAGGACCAGAGATGGATCATCGCTGCCACAAGGCAGGGGAGACCACTTGCGTTGTCTTGAGAGTTGGCATGCGTTTGATATTCGGGTTTTGGAGGACCTGCCGTGTGTCTTAGATTGCGACACGCAATCTCAATCGTGGCTTCGGTTGACTTTCGAAATCAACATTTGCCAATACGGTCACTGGAAACATCACCGAAGTGGAGGGTTTCGGTGTGCTCTGCCGTCCCTGCATTCCACGACCGACGATTTGGTCTTGGTTTAGACTCATCATGTAGAGATAGCCGAGCTGGGAGTGGAACTTGGTGCATAGTGCTTGGCGGCTGTCGCCGTGAACACTAGGCCGTTGAGCTACGCGAGCAGTGCTTGACACAGCCACAGCTGATAATGTGATTTAACAGTATGTATTCTTTTGAGAACAAAAGAGCTTCGTTAAGTGGCACTTTTGCAGCGGCATCACTGTTACCCATACCAGACAGGAAAATAGTTAGGTCTCAGACAAACTCGATCTTTCTGAAAAAAGTGAATAGGGATCGACGGCTCGATTATCTCTAAACTCAGGTACGTGATACGACAGCTTTAAGGCTACAAGCTCAATCCGATCGGCAAAAAGCACGAGCATCATGAGTAGTTTTTGACAGCGAGAGAGTCCCACTCTTACTCAATGCCACGCTACCGCTCACTTCAAACCAGATAGCTGGTAAAAGAGAACACATTGACTGTTTTCGCAGGTACACAATTCGTAACGGTCGAAAAGCACGTACAATTAATTCCAGAGCCTAGAAAGATGGGCGTCATCGGCATCAGATAGATTCCAATGTGGTTCTGCACTCACACCGTTGAGTTGGATCTGTCCCTCGTTGATATGTGCAGTGACATTTTGAGTCAAAAGATACACCAAAGCACCCATCTCCATTCTCGGAATAAGCAGTCGCAGAGTATCACTTGTTCACAAAACTCCCTACCATTCCAAAGAGACTGGACCTTAAAGCGGTAGGATTGCTTGCGTGTCTCTGTGACCCATTGAACTGTGATGAGTGGTGCTTTGGCATATTCAGATTTATCTCTACCAGAGTGGTCAATAGCCAGAGGTCAAACAAACTCCGTCGTCTGACCTACAAGTATAGGAGTTGGAATGAGGGTGAGTTCCCTGTCGGCACCACTGGAAACGCAGGAGTCTAGGACGTGACTCCCATAGGACGGCAGGTATTTCTGAATAAATAAGTTCCGACATAGGATAAAAAGGCTTATGCACTGTACAGTATGGTGAATAATTTCAACTTTAGTGACTAGTATTGCATTTTTGTAGCGAATAGTTCAAGCAAACATAACTACTTGCACTTTACTCTTCTTTATTTCTCAATCGTTACGTAGGCGTATAGTAACGAGAGTTGAGTATTTGCCGCATGCAACATGGAATGCATAGTTGTAGCGGGCACCAGTTTGTCTAAATTTCAGAACAGTTTTCCTGCGCAATTTTTTCGGAGGGTTCTTTTTGAGTCCCAAATTGTCTAGTCGGGACTCCTATAGGATTCTAAACGGATGCCCAACGGACACTCGTGCTGACAGGGTCCATATTACTTAAATGAAGATGCTGTGGCTCACCGCCGGAATCCAAGAGTTTCGCGGTCATGCTTTTGGACCAAAGGCTTTGACTGGGAACGTTAATGGCTCCCTTGTCTAGGCAATGGCAACCTGACAGTATCCTGGCCGCGGCAGAGGGCAACCAACGGCGCTATGTTTGCTGCACCGAGAGAAGTGGATAGGAATGGCGCTGCTGCCAATGGGGACATCCCCGCTTAGTCCACCTCTTGCGCTTTTTCACCCTTATTGTTCTGTTCCACCTTCACCTTTATCCCCTCTGTTTTTAATTCATCTCCAATTCTCGCCTCCCATCTCGCTTAGCTACTAGTTCCGACTCACGCAATCGTAAAGCAGCGCTCATGCTACGTCGGCAGATCCTTGTCTGACCAGATGGAAAATCTTGATCCTAGATAAAACTGACATCTCAACGTGCGCACTTCATTAAAGTTCAATCAACAGGCATAACTTGCCAAAACATCTGATACCCTACCGAACGATATATCCGCCGCTCAACAGAAATCCTCTGACAAGGCTCGCATTCTGCACTCACCCCACGATCCCCTTCAAGTGACGACGGCGGCACTGTGCCTATCCGGAGATAACGTAGTTTCAAATACCGGTTAAGCCGGTGTAGGCATTGCAGCCTGATCGACTCGACGCCTATCAGCAGCTGGATGGGTGCCGTCAGACTGGCCGACTCGTTCCAAGCTACTAATTCGCGAGAAGATAACATGTGCCTATTTGTCATCACTGCCTAGGCCCCCTCAGACTGTAGCACTGACTCGGTGGAAGATGAGCTCTATCACCAAATGAGCGAGTTTCTTGGTTACGGTAAGTGTGGGTACTGTAATGTTGGCTAGTGGTCTGAACATTCAAGTTGGAAAACGACCCACTGATGAGCTGTATCTGGGCGGTCAACACGGTGTAGGCTTCCGTAATGACAACGATGAGTGGGTGCTACACCTGTGTGAAAATAGTCATCTACTCCACGTGAGGACGGCATGTCGCCCATAAGTCTCGGATCAGCAATGGAAGCAAACTGATCACACTGCGATCACGCATCGTTAGTGAGGATAAGATGAAAGTCACCACACGATTTAGAGCACGACACTTGTATGTGCTGACCTCTGGGTGCATTTTGTGGACGCTTGCGACGACGATTTGAACACATACACACTTTCCAATTACAGAAGCCAGATTTTCTGAACGCGTACCAGAGTACGCTAGCATCTGAGTTAAGTAATCGTTCACTGAGCATGGTTAAAGTTCACTGGTCGCATGCTCACCAGATGGTGTTAGCAGCAGGTATTTTATGTGGTAAAAGTATTTGCAAGTATGGGCAGAAGGTTTCTACAAAGACTGGAATTCCTCGGTAATTGCTGGTGCATTGCTGTCTGAAACGAAAACAACGAGGCTCGCAAAAATATCAGGAGAAAATTACATGTCGGCCTGAAGGAAGACCGAGGCACGGTCTCATCGTACATCGGAGATGGTGAGTATCACCCTTCCTCGTAATCACAGCGAGTTATTCTGGGCAGCAGTAGACTTGGTGGTAGAAAAACTATATACGACGAGTGGAAACAGCATAGTTACAACTCGTCAAAACGTTTGGAGTGTTGGGTTGGAAATTGAAAAACCTTAATTCTTGGCACCTTTGCAGGTTAGCAAGCGCCCTGCTCCCCGGGCCGTCCTTTTCAATCTGCCATCGCACGGAGAAGTCGGAATTAATACCGCACTGCTAAAACTGAGTAAGGCCGCAGTACCAGTCCGCCTCAAATTCTAGAGACGTTTTTACAGATAATGTACACTGAATATTAGTCGAGTCACAGAATTAGGAAACTGTCCCAACCGGCTGGACCTGCTTTGTTATAGTCCCGATCTTCGAGGGGATTCAGCAATCAGAGAGACAACAGTCCGACCCCATCGCATCCAAGTCGCTTGACTTTGTTAGAGTTGCGAAGAGCAGCCTGGGTTACGTCGAAATCGTGGCTTAAATGACCACATCATTTTGCATCGGTCGTTGGAACACCGCCACGTATATTGGTGAAGCAACTTAGTTGTGTTATTCACCCTCAAGGATGCGTTTGATTCGGTAGATCAATGTGACTTTGGGAAATGGTTGGGTAAGAAAAGTGTACCCCAAAACTGCGTAAATATTATAAGTGCGCTCCACAGCGGTGTGAGACAGTGATGCTCCTAAATTCGCTATTGACGAAGTCATGGGAATTGCGCTCACCGGAGTCGGGTTAGGAGTGATATTGTCCCCAGATAATCGACCACTCGATTGGAGTATGCCGACGATGTCCTAATCGGTGAGTGCCCATAGACCTGCTAAGCAGCATTGGACAGGCTAACACTGGCTACAAATCACATCCACTTGTGATTAGGACCGTTAAAATGCAAAGCACTATTCCAGCGACAAACTTGTGCTGACCATCGCTGGAGATCAGTTAGAAGCCGTTCACAAACTCAGTTACTTTGACATCTATATCAGTGCGTGTTGAGTAGAAGATGAGGTTACAAACTGCATAGCAAAAAGCTCGAGATGCTTTTTTACTCATGGCCACTTATGGTGCCGGTGTGACACAAACGTCTCCCTGAATGAAAAAATAATACTGCCGTCTGCTCAACTGTACTATACGAGTGAAGCATAGCTAATTACTTTCGACCACTGATGTCTTCGTAGCTTAGCCCATATCTGGCGGGAACACTGCATAGAGAATGAGCGTGTTTGCTTCATGTTTATGGCGAAGGAAAAACAAGTAAAGCGTTTAGCATGTTATTTCACAAAGACATAAGCCAACCTCCGTAGCATATGGGCTGTGAGATTCCGTGTTTCTCACACTCACGCTTAGCCTCCCTTTCCAACAGTGGTCCCAGACTATATGCACAAAAGAACCAAGATATGATATCCTGATTACATTTTTATAACGGTCCCAATGAGTTGTGTCTCGGCACAATAGCTGCAATGTTTCTAGTCTCTAACAACCGTGCAGAATGTTGATGTTTTTTGCAGAGAAATAAGAGCAGCTCTAACCACAGTAACCAGAACCACAAGGAAACCGAGGCCATTTTGCAAAAATAGGGTGCCATTCCATATTGGGTCCACAAAAGTCAGAACACAGTTAAAATGACCAACGGAAGACGTTTGCTATGATCATACAGACCCCTTAGAGTTAAAATATGCTGTCTCTCCGAAAC